CTCCATTTTCTCACTTCTGCAATTCCAGTTCCTTGTCTATTAAGCCTTTTGATGGTGTCCTTCAGGTCCCAGCGACCCTGTTCTTTTTCTCCCCCCGCCCCAGTCTTTTTCTCCAAGTCCCTCAGATTGGATAATTCGAATGATTCGACTTCAGGTTCCCTAAGTGTTTTGTCCTCCCCATCCGACCCGTCATCCAATCCTTTGGAGATTTTATTTCAGACACTGTACTTTTCATTATAGAATCTTCATTATAGAATTTTCCTTTGTCTCTTTCTTAAAGTCCCTATTTCTTTGCCAACATTTCTTATCTTTCCATTAGTTATGAACAGATTTTGCTTTATGTCCTTGAATATAATAGCTCTTTCAAGCCCCTGCCTGCCAGTTCTAACTTCTGAGCCATCTTCGGAATCGCCTCCTTTACATTGTCTTTTCCTCATCAGAATGGATCATGTTTTCATGTTTATTTTTATATTGGGTAATTTTAGATTATGTCCTGGACATTTGTGAATGATGGATTGTGGAAACTCTGGATTCAGTTAGATTCCTCTGAAGAATGGTTTGTTTGTTTTAACAGGCAGTTAATGTGGCTGATCTCAAAGCACAGATTCTCTCCCCATGCTGTGGGCACCAGCCCACATCTCAGTTCAGTTCTCTTCACCTTAGCTGGGCTGCGTGGAGCCTGTCCTGTGCATGCATGGCTCCAGGTTCCGCTAGAGATTTGGGGAGATTTTATAAAACTGCAGACTGCTGTCTGGCAAATGGCCATTAAAAAATGGGGATTTATCCAGGGCCCCTCGCCCAAAAAATGGGACTTATGCCAGCCCTGCTCAGGGTCTAGCTTCTGTGGGTTTCTCTCCCGTGCAGTCATAAGAAGGGTTGCTTTTTATGTCATTGTCCATAGTTGCTATCTGCAAGAGGGTTCGTCAAATAGTTGCTATGCAGACTTGCCAGAAATAGAAAGAAGTCACTATTTTTAAAGAAAGATTTTAGCAGGATTCACATTTTTGAAAAGTAGTTTTTTGAGATGGGCAATGCCACAACCAAACAGAAGTGCCTTATCTCTGGCAATTTGAGATACATGAAGAGAAATTCAGTCTTAGTGCATCCATGAAACTAGACGTCCGGTCGGCTCTGCCCGTTTGTCAGGGAGAAAGAGCAGAGGCATTCGCTGTAACTGTACGGTTTTGCATTTAGCCGCAGGTCAGCCTCTCACAGATATGCTCTCTGCAACTGAATCTCAGGGCTCCAGACTTGTTTTCTGCAAAGATATCAGGCGGGGCTTTTTGTTAAAAGGTCAGTTCCATTCCTTTGTGGTGAGGCAATGTTGGGTAATTATGAGAGATCATGTTTCAAAACTGGTATTCCCGTGAACTTGCCAAAACGAGCTCTTTCCCTCTGGACTTTTTTCCGTCCCATTTTCTCGCTGCTCTTTCTCTGGACGTTTTCCACGTTCGCCTAAGTAGCCGAGGCTGATTTTATGATGTTCAGGTGATTAAAGTCCAATCTTTTAAGAAAACGTTCCATGAGCAAAGATTATTTCTTATATTTAAAAGAAGAAATGGTTTGTAGCTTCAGAGGAAAGAACAGTAGTGCATCGCTCACAGGGGAGACACTACAGAAATGAGATGGAGAAAATCTCTCTTTCCTGGTGGTTAAAAGGTCAGGTAAAAGTACGCTGCTAAGTACCATTTACTCCAGAGCTTTACTGTTTTTTCCCCACATACTTTCTTTTCCACCCTAACAATGGGTAGAGCGACAGAGTTACTCCCATCTCTGAATGAGCGAGCACGTTGAATAGGCAGGGCGGCGGCCCCACCGAATTGGGCGGACGTGCGGCTTCTCACCTGTTTCCCGCAGCTTGGATGGCTCCATGTCAGCAGCCCGGGACCGACTGCCCTTTTCCACTCTAAAGCTGGTCTGGGTTGAAGATTTGTTTTTGTGTCTTAGCTCAGTGCTGGGAACGAGGAACCTCTTAGACCCCTTTCTTGCTCTCCATGAAAATACCTCAGGAGTGAAATCACACTTTGTCGCTCCAGAACGGAAATTCCCTCAGCCCTCTCCATGCTCGCTGCCGGAGGGCACGAGCGCCCGTTCCCCTGGAGGGGCAGCAGGCCCAGAGCGCAGTCAGCAGCCCCTGCCCGCTCTGCGTCCTGGTACGCCGCGTCCATGACTTGGGTGACTCTGGTGACATGAGGGAGGTGAAAGGGAAGAAACAGTACACGGAGCCCTGCTTTCCGCACTCACGTCTCAGTAGGTGGCCGGTGGTGAAGAGAGGCAGGGCGGCCGCGTGTTCTCGCGTCTGTAGCGGAGAAGCCCCGGCTCGCACTGGGTCATCTGCTTGTAAGCTTGAGACCTAGAAACCGCCATCCCGGGAGAAAGCACAGCGGCTCGCTGCCAGCGCCCATGAGACGGCCGGCTCGTTCACATGGAATGTATTGCTACTAAAAATATTTGCAGTTTGGGAAACTATGTTTAAATTTGACCTCCTTGACCCTCTGCACATTCTAGTTTTTCGCTCTGGGTTCTCCAGCCGCTCTAAAGAGACAAGTTCAGAAGTGTCCCTCCGTGCCTTCTGCCTCCATCTATGGCATAGTCCTCCCATTGTCAAAACAGATCTTTTATGAGTTATTTATACTCCTGACCGCTCTGAGCAGCAAACGATGGCTTCTCAGAAGCATTTTGACGTGTTATTTTTGGTGTGAGAACCAAGTACTGAGATCAAACTACTCCCCTCCCCATTACCACCGTTCTGCTAGGGGCGCGGCGGGCAGGCTCGGGGAGAGAGGTTGCGGTACCTGTCACGTGCACGCGCTGTGACCCAATGGGGAAGCTGGTCCCAGCCGGCCAGTGGCAGAACGCGGGCAGCGTCAGACCCACGGGGCCGCGGAGTGCCGCGCGGGGCTCTGTGAGAGAAGGGCTGCCCGGAAGGGGTCAGGCAGTAAATTCTGTAGGTCGGAGAGCAGGGGAAAGGGAAAGCGGGTGGGAGAACCGGGGCAGACAAAGCCTAAGAGGGTCTCCTGTGGCAAGGGTCCTCATGGGACCTTCTGGAGGTTTTCCTGGGCAACAGTCAAGCTGAAGATCCGGGGCAGCCCTTGCGAAATAAGCCGCCTTAGTGGGCCTTCGAATGCGGTTCCTGTCGCGCTAAAGAACCAGTCATGCTGGCCTTCTCAGAGCTTGTCTGTTCTTCAGTTAATGTAAGAAGCTGAGGGGAAAAAAGACAAATTCCTTGATTTTTCTTGTCCTGATTTTCATGGATTTTTCGGTTGTTAAAACGATAAGAGGTTTAGAAGTTCGGGTTCTGGGTCTGTTATTTAGGGGCCTCAATGAGAGCAGCGCGCAGAAAAACTACCCAGGGCAGCTCCTCTCTCGAGCCAGGACTCCTGCACCCGGTGTCCGTCTCAGAGAAGGTGGCCCGCAGTCCTTGCCTGGTGACAGCGCAGTCGGCTTAGGGCCAGCTCGTGCTGGCCACGCCGCGGGTGGACCCTGCTGCTTGTGGCCTCACTCCCCGATCGCCTGTCATGGTGGGCGCGCACGGCCGTGCTCCAGCGTCCACAGGAACTCCGGGTGCGAGGGAGTGGGCTGTCGGGTCGCAGCCCTCCGCCCAGTGGGAGCAGAAGGCAAGCAGACGCTGCTGCACGGTGACTCGAGTCCCCATCCCCGGCCCCGGGGCCCGGTCCCCAGCAGTGCTGGCTCGGCACACCCCTTGCCAGGCTGCAGCGTGACCCTGACTCCCCAAACTTGTCAAGGTTCCGGGTTCCTCTCTTAGCCGGGCTCGCCCAGCTGGCGCTTGAAGAAAACCAGAATCCTGTTTTCAGGAGGAAGTAGAATCTTTTGGCTGCAAGCTTTCCTCTCAAAGCACTCACGGCATCCCCGAGGAAAACCCTGTCGTGCCTTTAAAAGAAAAAAAGAAAAGAACTACCCTTCGGTCCGTAGTAAGGGTTTGCTGACTCAGGGCAGTCACCAAGTGATCTGCCGTCCTGCGCTGACTTCAGGGTGATGGCCGGAGTGCGCCCGTGCGAGCAGCCGCCCGCTCCAGCCTCCAGCCAGCCAGGAATGTCTTTCTCAAACAGTTGAGCAAATTCCCAGATTAGAGCGGGGCTGCTGCAGCTGACCTCACTCTTTCATGAGTAATTCTGGGTGGTAGTTGCCGGCGCTCCGCCCGCAGCCTCGAAGCCCTGAATGAGCGTCATTCCCCGAGGCCGAGCGGGGGCTGCGGGCGCGGGAGAGAGCTGCGGCCACGGTGAGGACCTGGGGTGCGGGGACCTGGTGCCCGCCGAGCGCCCCCCTCCGGGGTCCCACGGCTGGGTGGGGGGGAGCTGGCAGGGGGCCCGCTCCGGCCGCCTTCCGGGGGGTTGGCGGGATGGCAGGCGGCCAAGGCTAAGGAGACGCGGCAGCCCCGAGGAGTGCGGGACGGGGCGGGGGCGGTAGGTAGCCTGTGTGCTGTGGGCGGCGGTGAGTAGCAGCGGCCGGGCTGCCTGAGGGCTTGTTAGCCCGGGGACGCAGAGCACTGGCCAGGCTGGAAGCTAGGCAGACGGTCGTGAGCAGGGGAAGGGGAGTATTGGCCGGATTGCAAATGTGTCCCCCAGCGTGCTGATGTCACAGGACGTGGGGGCCCGTGTGCATGTGAGGAGCCCGTCCTATCACTTAGCCGTGCTTGACAAAGCCTTGTCTGGGACTTCTCAGGGCAGGTTCTGTTCTGCTCAAAGTCAACTTGGTGTACAGGCATCTTACCTGCGCCCATGCCCCCGGCCTGTCTTTGATTTTCCCGGAGCTCTCGTCTTCCCCGCTGTCCTTTTCTTGCCCATAGCAATGCTGAGAACGGGCTTGCCCTGGGGACCGGGGCTATTCTAGAGTCATGAGTGCAGTTAAACGCGATCGGCTCTCCCTTTCCCTATTGTTACCCTCTAGCTGGCGGGTAGGGGCTCCTCGGATAAGCGGGGGTTCTGGTGTGTGCTCACTCTGGCCGGCAGCTCCCCATAAAACATGTGTTCTCTCTCTAGCACAATCCTGGAGGAGGAGAAGGTCCAGCAGGAAGAGCGGATGAGGATGGAGTCCAGAAGACAGGTCACGGTGTCCTGGGACTCCGGAGGGTCCGACGAAGCGCCGCCCAAGGTAGCCAAGGCCCCAGCCCCAGCTCCAGCATTGCTTCTCCTGTCAGTGGGTGGCGTGGGCAGCTGCTGTGTGCAGGGACACGGCCACACATCAGGTGGTCCTAGGAATGGTGCTCACAGGCCCCCTGCCCCTGCTCTTTTGCCGGGCATGCTATCCTCACGTGCACTCGCTCCCCAATTTGCATTTCAACTGTAGGCCGGGCTCTGGCTCAAGCCCTTAGATTAGATATGGTCTTAAAAGCCTCCCCCTCGGCTCCCACCCCCGACCCCCAGACTTCAGGGAACACACCCGGTGCGGAGGAGGATTGTCCTTCGTTGCTTGTCGGGGGCCTTGCCAAGGATCGAGTCAGGACGAGAACCTCAGATGGACTAAAACCAGCCCCTCAATGCTTTACATTTCGCTCTGGGTTTTTTGTGTTTTTTTTTGTTTTGTTTTGTTTTTTTAATTTTATTTTTTATAAACATATAATATATTTTTATCCCCAGGGGTACAGGTCTGTGAATCGCCAGGTTTACACACTTCACAGCACTCACCATAGCACATACCCTCCCCAATGTCAACATTTTGCTCTGTTTTAAAGCAAGTCAAATTGTACTTAACCCCATTCCTTTTGGGTTGGGTTTGGGTGAGAGACAGTCTCTGCCTGTCTCCTGTCGGTGGCTGGCTTCTGGGTTTGGGGGCTGCAGGCACGTTGCCCTTGGGAGTTCAGACCTGCTGGCAGCATCCCCAGGCCGGCCTGCCTACCGTCTCCACACGTTCAGCCTCTGGGACATGGCCAGCGCCTTCCTGTCGCTCATGTGGACGTGGCCGGCCTCTAAACGCTCCCATGAGATTAAGAATTCTTTATGCACCTTTTGCTCTTGACAGACGGTGTCTTCACACAGTCGCTCACTTGCCGTGAATGACCCAGCTTAGAACATTTCTGGAATGTAAATAGATAATGGGCTTTACCTCCTAATCGATGGGCTAAAAATATATTAAGAAACTGACAGTTCTTCATTTTCTTTTTGAAAACCGTTCAGAGGCCTATTAGCACGAACCATTTAAATCTTGTACCTGTTTTTTTTAACGATGCTTGAAAGCTTGTATTTTCTTGGTCCGTATTTTCAACTGTGTAACATAAAGGTGACCACACATTTAAGGTGACTGCAGGTGACAGACACGGTTCTTCAGAATTTTAGAGGTGAAGGGCTCCCCAGTCTGGCCTCCTGAACATGTAGACACACTGAGGCGCAGAGGAGGAGGGCCACGCCAGCTGTCACCCGGTGTTCCTTTGAGTGAGTGAGCGACAAAACCAGTACGCCTCTGCGTCTCCTGGGTAAAGAACAACCATAAACCTTTAGCTACCCACGGAAAACTGAGAGAGCTAGGAGCCCGCTGGGAGCACGGGACAGTGGCCCAAGCCTGGGAGGTGGGAGAACTCTCCAAGCTGGTTTCTCGGGCCTGCGGGCCACATGGCTCTCTTCACAGGGCCTCTGATGACTGGGCAGTCCCCCTGCCTGGTGCCAGCCTCACTGTCCTCGCTGTGCCGCGAGGGTGTTAACATCCCTACTCCCCGGGGGTGTGGTGAAGGCCGCGGGAGGTCCTGCGTCGGGGCCCTAGTGGGAGTCGGAGGGGTCAGAGGCCACGCGCATTTGCTGTGAGCGCCACACCGTGCAGCCCTCCCGCCCAAGCCCACAGAAGGAAAGAGCCTCGTGCTCTGCGTCCTCCTGCATCTGTCTGTGGGATGTCCAAGAACTTTCATTTGGCTAATTTTTAGAAACTAGTATGAGGTTAGGCTTTTCCTATTCTAGAATACAAAGACATTTTTTTCTGGTTTTAAGAATGTTTTCAAAGTGGCTGTTGTAAGGCTCTTCTCCATAATTAGACATTGTTCTGCCCTTTAAAATGGGTCAGCAAACCCTTACCCATTGCCTGCTCATGGAATCAGTTCTGTCGGAATGAATTGCGTGCTCCGCGTCTCGTCCCTGGCTGGTCTTGGCCGGCGGCAGGGTCAGGCAGGCACTCACAGTGTGGCTGCACAGATTCAAACACTCGCTCTTTGACACTTGGAGGTGAAGGTCGACGACCTGTGGATTAAAGAGTTTTCGTGGCTAGAAAATCATCTACACTAGTTACATATACAGATGCCTGATGAATACAAACGAATACACGAATTACTCGGCTCCCTTACCGGTCAGAATCTGGCCTGGATGTGGTTTTTCCCTTTTCTCGTGATCCGTGGATGTGAACTCTGCTTTCGTGGGCGCTGTATTTGACCCGTCAACAAGCAGATCCCTTGTCTCCAGGGCGCTCGCCCAGCATTGCGTCCTGGCGCTTCCTCCACCCCGTGGAGCAGGAGCTCTGGGGCCTCCTCAGGCTGTAGAGTGCCAGCTGTGCTGTCTTTGCACAACGAATTCCACCTGTTTCTTGAGATCACATAGGATCTCGGACTTTTGTAAACGAGTGTTGTGTACTAATAAAACTCATAATGTAGCCTAATGAGGTTTTAAAGTGAAATATTTTTCTCTCCCACGTTCAAGATTCAAAATTAAAAGCTTTGCCTGCCTTCAGCTCAGGTTGTGATCCCAGGGTTATGGGACCGAGCCCCACATGGAGCGCTGCGCTCAGCGGGGCCCTGCTCCTCCCTCTGCCGCTCTTGCCACTCGTACGCTCGCTCTCTGTTTCTCAGATAAATAAAATCTTTTTTAAAAAAAAGTAAAATCTTAGTTATAAGACTTAATGGCAAAAGCATTATAACTACCATGCTAATTATTAAAAACATGTTACCGATTTCTTCTTTGGTACTCGATACCAATTTTTTCCCACAATGACAATCTCCAGAGAAGTTTGCCCAGGAGCAGAGCAGCCTGGGTCACTTCATTGCTACGAGCTGTCCTGCACGTCCCCCAGCAGATCAGTGGAGAGCCTCTGGCTAAAAATATCCTTTTCAAGCACTTTCCAAAGAAATGTGTTTCTTGGACCTCTGGGTCTCCAATTCCATCTCAGAGGGCTGTGAGAGCAAATTCCATTTCATAATAATGTCCACGTGTCATGGGCCTCGTCCGTTCTGCTGACATTTGCAGTCCTGTTGCAGACGGCACGGTGGACAAAGCCGCAGTCGCCGTGGCACGCACCCGGGCAGCGGGGCCAAGCTGGGCTGGTCGTCACAGCACTCTGCACCACCGTGCTCACGCAGGAAAGAGACGCCCGGGTGCCGAAGAGTGACCTCGATGAAGCGGCCTCAGGTGTAACGTGGGAGGAGCAGCAAGTACCAGGAAGACCTTGCCAGGCAGCCGAGGTGCAGAAGTAGCCACATTTCTCAAGGAAAACCAGTTTTTCTCCAAAGTAGAGTGGGCAGACACTGGTTGTGCAGAGTCGTGCATTTGGTAGATGTTTTCTCCAGAAAGAAGTGAGACTGTGTCATCGGGAACAACTGATGCCTTGTTGCCGGAGATAAAATTTGAGTTTTCAAGCAAAGATTAGAATTCTGAAATATATCCATCACCATGACCTTGACAGCTTCCCCACTCTGAGACTTTGCTGATGAGCTTGGAGCGAGACCGACAGATGTGACTTTTCCATGCGTCTACTGACACGGGTCTGCGTGGCGAAGGTCTGCGTGCCTCTGCAGCTCGCGTTTTCAGATGGCCGCTGTGGGATGTCACAGGGTCACCGCACGTGGAAGGTCCATTCACGGTACAGGACGGAGTGACGGATCTAAACGTCACACATAACGACACGGTTTTCAGATTCCAAACTGCAAGTCACCTTTGAGATACCACCACTTTCTGAGTTGGAGCATAATGTCAGGAACAGTGCCCACAACTGTGCCCAGAAACTGTTAAGCGACTCCCCACACTCCCACCCCCTCAGCTGCACGGCTGTGTGGGGCTGGATTTTCTTTGTGCGCCGCAGCGAGACAGCAGGGCAGGCCGTGCGGAAGCCGGTGGGAGAGCTGGCGGCCTTCTGCTAGGCCCGACGTTAGAGGAATTTCCATACACACGTGGGACACGTGCCACTCTGCTCACTGATTGTTTTTTAATGTGTAATTAGTTTGTTATTTTTAAGTGTCTGTTTTCATTTTAATAATGTAAATATTGGTAGATCTGTTCCAGCCAAACAAAAGCCCTTGGAGTCCTCAGTCATTTTTGGAAATACAAAGGGAGTCCTGAAAATAAAGGGTTTCAGAGTGGCTGCCTCAGAAGCGTTTCTCCGCCCTGACAGCACCCGGCACTGCACTTCTGTAAGAAGCGTTTCGTGATGTCCCGCGCTGGCCCTCCAGTGAAATACACAGGAAGTAAGAGGACTTCGTAATTTCAAAATGCCAGCTCTGCCCGGAGCTTGCTCGCTGCATGAGAAGCGAAGATGCTGTGCACGCCCCATGGGAGGCGCTCAGGTGGGATCGTCGCCCAGGACTGCTGAGGTGGCTGGGTGTGGGGACACAGGACAGATGCCCAGCCCACAGCCACGATGGGGTGTGAGTTTCACGGGCTCGTGCGATGCGATTTTCTAGAACCACAAAAAGTCTTGGTAAAGTTCAAACAAAACAAAGTAACGTTGTCCGTCAGTATACACAGGAGTTGCTCTTCCAGGGGCTTCGGTGAGAAACTATGCCGAGGGGCGCCTGGGTGGCTCAGTGGATTAAGCCTCTGCCTTCGGCTCAGGTCATGATCCCAGGGTCCTGGGATCGAGCCCCACATCGGGCTCTCTGCTCTGAGGGGAGCCTGCTTCCTCCTCTCTCTGCCTGACTCCCTGCCTCCTTGTGATTTCTGTCTGTCAAATAAATAAATAAAGTCTTAAAAAATATATATATAAATCTGAAGGTGGTCCCCTTGGTTTCATGGAACATACTTTGGAAATTGCCACCCTAGAACACAGAGTAAAGCCTATGACATCCCCTTGATGACCCTTGCCTGTTTCCAGGTGTCCCGGGGATCCACGGTCATATTTGGGTGAGTTTGGGGTGAGCCGCGTCTGGGCTGCCAAAGTGTTGGCCCAAGGGGTGGGGGTGCGCTCCCAGCCTCGGAGATGGCGCAGGGGTGCGGTAGCGGAGCAAGAGCAGGTGGAGGCAGCCGCGATCCGCGTCGGGGTCGGAGATGCACCCAGAACAGGGGCCTAGGGCGCTACGTCGGGTGGCAGAAACCACGAGATTTCAGGAAATCGCCACAGAAGACTCAAAGGACGGGCGGCAGGGACAGTGTGAGCAGAGCTGGGCACTGAGACTCCACTCAGACACGCAGACTTGCTCAGGACTTCACTCCAGCCCAGGGTGTGTTTCTCCAGGACCGTGTGCGTCCGTGGGAAGAGACGGGGGCTCCGAGGCGTTTCTTGCCTCCCCTGGGCTTGCTGGCCCCTCAGTCCATCTCCTTTAAGTCTGGTCTCCGTTTGGCGGGAGAGTAGTGGGTCTGCGCTCCGGTGAATCCGTCAGGCTGGGAAGATTTTGTGGGCTTCACTTCTATTTCACACTAAACCATTCTTCCGGTATGAACCTTAAATTCACGTAGGTCACAAACGGATGAAGGGTTTTAGGCCGGAGGTGACTTCGTGGTCCCTGTAGCTCAGCTCCCGGCTGATAGAAGCAGAAACCAGGCAGCTGCTGGCTTGTCCACAGTCCCACAGCCAGGAAGCCGCAGAGCCCGATGAGAGCCCTGCTCCGAAAGCCCCCCGATCGGCTCTTCCTGGGTGCCCGAGCCGCCACACGTCGTGTTGGCCATCGATCGGCCCCTCCCGTCTGCTCCAGTCCTTGCCCACTGTCGGTGCAGATTGTGTGTCATGTTCCTGGGGAGCTGCAGGAGGTTCTGTATATTCTGGTTACGACTCCCACACGTGACGTGCACACACTTTGCTCCATTCTGTGGCCTCTCTCTGTCTTGGTGGTGCCATTTGCAGGACAGAAACTTTTAGTTTGCACCCAAACTAAAGGTACAACGTGCCTTTCTCATTCTCAGTGACTGAGCTTTTGGGGTCCTGTCTATGAAACCATCGCCCACCCAGGCTTGCAGAGATGTGCCCGTTCTCCACGAGTTTACAGCCTCGCCTCTTCTGCTCAGCTCCCTGCTCCATCTTGAGTTAATCCGTGTGTGTGTTGTGGGGAAGGGGTCCAGCGTTGTGTTTTGACATGGGGGTGCCCTGCTGTCCCGGACGTTTGTAGGAAAGACTGCTTCCCCCACCGGAGTGCCTGGATGCTCATCATTCTTTCCAGCTAAAGTCTTTTTGAGAAAAGTACCTTTTTCTGTTATTTGCAGTAAAACAGAGATTGGACGAAACTTTCAAAGTACTCATTCCTGTGATGCTCTGTTGATGTGTTCACAGCCCAGCAGACCCGGTTACCCCAGTCCAAGGTCCAGCGAAGGATTTTACCCCAGTCCTCAGCACATGGCACAGACCAATCATTACCAGGTACGCCCGTCACCGCGGACTAAGGCCGGCCTTCTGTTCTTCACACTTGCAGGTGGGGAGGGACCCTGGAGGTATTTCTGTTCTTTCTTTCTGTACACAGGACTGTGATTTGGCGCGCAGAAAGCTAAGAGAGTAATGCACCTTAGTGACTGTCTAAGTGGAGGCTGTGTCATAGGCCCTCAGCCTTAAAGCAGCGCGGGCAGGTGCCCCCGTCCCCATTTCTGTCCTCCGTTTGGGAGACATGTGGGGTGAAGAGCCAGTAATGAACGGGGTGGTGTTTCTGGAAGGCAAGAATAACATTCAAATTTACCTGAAACACCAGACAAGATGCCATACTGGCCAGGTGTGGATGACGCCGGACTTGCAGATATCTTGTCAGACTAGACACGACTGTCCTCGAGAAAGGAGGACCAGAAGCAAAGTCAGTAATGTTTTGGCTTTGAGGGAGAGTGTTTGCTTTTTGGAGGTATAATTCACTTAGAGGAAATGCACACGTGTTCTGACAGCCATGTACACACGCGTCCCCCACACCATACCAAGACAGAGCTTGTCTGTGGCCCTGGAGGGCCCCCTCCCCTCCTGTCAGTTGCCTGCTGCCCAGCACAGCCGCACTCCGACTGGTCCCAGCTGTTGGTGTTGCGTGTTCTGGACTTGGAGATAAGCGGATCGTCAGGGTGTCCTCTCGTGTGCTCAGCGGCTGGTACAGGTGTGACATCTGTGGTGACGTCCTGACGAGGGTGTCAGCAAGTCACAACTTTGTAATGCTGAGGAGTGGTCCAGTGCATGTGTGTGTGCCACGGATTGTGTCCCCGTAGTTGTGTTATTTGGAGAATGGATCACTTCCAGGAAATAAATCGCTTCTTGTGATTTGTGTCGGCTGTGGCTCTCGTGAAGCCACACATTTGTGTCCCGGGCTGATGCTCGTCGCTGGCTGACTCGGTTACCATAACCAGCCTTGAGGGGGAAGCACTTAACTGAGTGAGTGAGACACAAAACAAGCAACGGGGAGTCCTTGGGCCCTGGTCCTGAGAGGGAGGAGCTGAACGTTCCTTTAACTGTCATCTCCTTCTACAGGAGGAGAAAAAAGGAGCAAAAAGAGAAACGCTTACCGTGCCTCCTTCACGGGGTCGCTGCAGGTCACATGAAAGCATTTTTATTCCTTTACGTGCTTCCCACTATGATTTAAATCCAGGCCTCTTAGATCAGTATGGACAAGCGCCTCGCGGTGTAGAGTCCTGGGGAGAGCATGCGGGCCATTCCGCTCTAGAGAGGTGGTAGTACCTCCAGACACTGAAATCGGGTCTGCGGCAGGCCCTTAACCTGCTCCACTGCCTCCAGATCCCACTGTACCCATTCTGAAGGGGGGCCCAGGGGTGCCACACTGTGAATAAGCACCCCAAGGTGGCCTGCGTGACTGAGAGCCCTGTTTCGGGAGACACTGCTCTGAGCCCCACTTGCCCGGGGGAGGCGTGAATCACGGGGCCCCCAGACGTGTTTAGAGAAAGCACGACAGCATCTGCTGAGGAGGCAGAAGGCAGGCCTCCACAGGCCCTCGGCCCTGACCCGGGGCTCCCTGGCCCTTGCCCCTTCCACCACCCGCGCTCTGATGCGTAACCGTGTGTGGCTGTTGGCCACGCCCATCCAGAGCAGAAGCCTGTGAGGACAGTGGCCTGTCACTACTTCAAGTGCCCGGAACAGTGTGTAGAACAGAGTGAGGGTTCAGTGGCTGCATGAAAGCACCCATATGTTCAGCAGGCAGAGGAATGATTCCGCTCTCCCAGGTCCCAAGTTTCCGTATCTGGTAACTGAGAATGACTACAGGACATCGCCTGGTGCTGTTTCGTGCTCCTTCTTAGCCAAAAATGCTCATCAATCCTTTCACAGGGTTGGTGTTCCATAGAACGCTGCCGCACGATACTTGAAGGTCTCTGTTGCACAAGTTCCTAAAAGTTGTCCGGCGGTAGTGTAGCCCTTCTGACCAAAAACAATAGTGATACATTTTATGTTCAGTAGAATTTTTATTGAAATACTTTGATTCTAGTAAACTGTGAGAACGATCTGTACATCTTATTTGAAAGTTTATTAATTATATATTGTCAGTGTGCAGTTTTGGTATAAACAATGCCTAGAGACCGGATAAGTGCACAAAGTCTTTGTTGAAGAATGTGTTGGTGTTTGGAAATACTGGATCTGGCTGTGCTTTATCTTGTTAAAGAATTAACCAAACACCCTGGCCCCCCAGCACTAGCCCAGTGAGTTACGGAAACTGCTGATTCTGCCCCCGACCCTCGTGATTGAGGGAGGAAGCCACGTAACGGAACTCCTTTCATTTTCCTTCTGCCTTGGAATTTTTCTTCCTGTGCACCTTGTGAGCGTCTTTTCTCCGCCGCAGTTATCACGGTTAGAGCACGCCACCTGCGACTCTCGCCGGCCTGAGTTCATTAGACGGGGCGCTCTAGAGCAGCGCCCACTGAGCCGCGTTCGTGTCCCCTGGTGCTGTGGCATCCAGGGTGCAGAGTTTCAAAGTAAATGATTTCTGACTTCCTGGTGTATATTTGCACTACTTAATTACGCAGCCTCCATGGATTACCTTTCTTTCGTTGAGAATCCATTTCCTTGCCTTTACCACCTTCCAGAGGCCCCCTGCATCCCTTGGCCATGACCCTTCCCTCTTCAAAACCAGCAGTGCCCTATCCCTCCAGCCACACTGCAGTAGCCTATCTCCCCTTCTACCCCTTGCGCGCATAAGGAAGCCGCACATTAGGTCCACGCCGATGAGCCAGGGTCATCTCCCCATCTCTAGGCACCTAATTTACAACCGCCCATGGGAAGTCCCTCTGCCGTGTAAGCTCCCATAGCCACAGGCTCTGCGGATCAACATGTGGAGATCTGTGGGCACCACTGTCCTGTGGGTGCGGTGTTCTCTGTCATCTGAGTCACTGCCTTGTGCATGACTGTGCTGCCCGACGTTCACAGGTCTCTGGCTATCCTGGTTCCCATGGGGTCACGGCCTTGGCTGGCAGCATCTACCCGGGCCAGGCATCTCTCTTGGACCAGACGGACTCCTGGAATCACAGAGCGCAGGAGATACCAATGTGGCAGCCCAGCATGGAGGTAACCTGCATGTTTTTGGGCTTCTGTTGTTAGCTGATGGAGCTTTGCCTATAGTATTCTTTATTTCTGAATCCTAGGAGTTACTCGTTTTGACGACCGAATTCTAAAGTCAAGGCGCCGCATCTCAAATTGTTCCCGGTCCTGTGAATCCTTTTTACTGAAACAGAGACGCCACCATCATTAGCCCACCCACCTGCAAGGCAGTGTGCGGGGCCGAACATTGTTAGTGTGTGCGCGCAGCAATTCTCGGGAAGGAGAGGGGGACAGCCTCCTGCTCTGGGGGCCATTTTCACCCCTACCAGATTTGCCTGGTACACCGAGAACCCCTCCCGTAGCCATTAATGTTGTTTCTTTGACTCCCGGAGCACCTGTAGTCTGCCACCCATGCCCTTGACCTTGGAGTGAGCACATCTGACGCTTGCTCCATGGCATGTGTGGGCTGAGCTTAATCTTCCTTCCATACCGGCCCAGACTGTGTTCAGTTCTTCACGGCAGCCAGCAGTGCCTTCTCCGTACAGACCTTGGATCCTTTCTTTCTTTTGAAAGATTTGTATCCATTCTTTTGAGAGAGAGAGAGAGAGAACGCATGCATACAAGCGGGGGCCTGTTGCAGGGCTGGATCCCAGGACCCCGAGACCACAGCCCAGTCCAAAGCCAGCTGCTTAGCCAACTGAGCCACCCAGGGGCCCTGGATTATTTCTCGAGAATAAATCCCGCGAGCGGAGCTGTGAGCCAAGGGACTTGTACTTGTTAGAGGTGCTCAGCCGCGGCTGTCTCGCAGCCTTCGGGCAAGTCGCTCCCCTGAGCAGAGTCTGAGAGACCCTGTTTCCACCACCCTTGCTGTTTTGCTTTCAGTTGTTTGTTTGTTTGTTTGTTTGTTTGTTTTTGGGAAAGCACAGGAAACAGTAAGGGCATCTGAGGTAGCCTGAGAGTGATGCGCTCTTGATCCCCCCCCAGGACTCGGCGGTACCGGACCTGCGCGGGATCGGGCAGGTGTTGCCGGCCCACCTGATGGAGGAGCGGCTGGTCCGGCAGCAGCAGGAGATGGAGGAAGACCAGCGCTGGCTGGAAAAAGAGGAGAGGTTTCTGGTAATGGTGTTTCTAGTAATTGGGGTGTCTTCCACTTGGGGCGCTCTGCCAGCATCTACATACTACAGATGATGGGCAAAGCTGGTCTTTTTCAGAACAGGAGACAGCCTTTTCCATCTGGTCCCAAACACGTGTGATCCTAGGTTATTGGCTATTCTGGGATTTTTTTCTGGCCAGATTTCTGAGATTTGAGTAGCCGCATCACAGGCTCGGAGGTGTGACATCTCTGTGGTTGTCGCAGAAGCAGCTCCCCCGCAGGTGTCCGCTCGCATCTCGTTCCCACAGCGCGTGTAACCAGGCGTCCGGGCACCAGGCCCTCCTTCACGGCATTCCCCGTCCTGTGGCCCGACAGGCGCCTCCCCCACGCGTATCTGGTGGCCCACGTCCATGCCCGCTCTGAAGTCTGCAGCAGAGGAAGTGGTGAGGCAGAGCGGTCTCTGTGTGTCGCTTGACACGAGGGCCCTTTGGACTCCTGGCCCCCTGCCAAACACTTCTGCGCCCTCAGCCTCAGAGCGCACACCCCCGTCAACCCGCACGGCTAGATCAGTCTTCCTGGAGTGGCCTGAAAGGATGACGAGACAGAGCCGGGACGCCCACCGTTGCCACAAATTCAGGAATCATTATTACCTTTCCTTGGGTCGTCCACAGCCGCTCACTTATGCTTTGGTTCAATAAACTTCCCCGAAGACGCCTCTGTGTCCAGCTGTGTGCTGAGGGACCGGAGTGAGGGTGGGGGACAGTTCTCAGATTGCTCACAGCCTTCCAGGCACGGACACACTGAACGCAGCAGTGAACGGCATTAGGCCGCAGCGGTTTCGACCCACACCATTCATCAACGTGCGACCCTGATTTCATCCTTTGTGTGTGGCTCTCATTTTTTTTTTTTTAATTGTGGAGAATTAAACACGCAGGCTCGGGGAAGCCTGTTTTCACTGTCGGGAGGCCAGTGGCCTCCGCAGAGTGTGCTGGGCTCAGCACACAAGCCTCTGGGCTCCGCACATGGGAGCGTGCAGCATGCCAGGAGGCCCGCAGACGGCACAGGCGCCCCACGCTCGGTGACTGCCAGGCAGGACTAGTGCACGCGTCCTCGGCACACACCTGCTCACATCCGAACGCCTCGGATCCTAGCTGACGTCTGCCATGGTGCCGGTCACCGTCCGACGTATTTTTCATAAGTGAAGTCAGCCTGTCCGCACAGCCACCCCACAAGGAAGAGAGGGGTCGGGAATCCTATACCTGAAATTCTTGAAGGTTTTTTGCTTCAGAATTCAATATTATTTTTATTTTAGAAAACCAGTGTAGTGTGGTGCACATGCCACGGGCGAGGTCATGTTCCAGGAGCATCCCAGAGGTAAGAGTAGCAGTGTTCATGCAGCAAAGCAGGAACGCTCATATGCACGGGTGTGAATACAGACTTCACCTCAGCTCGGCCGGGTTCTGCCATGAGAGTCACTCGCTTCAAATGCAAGATCAAATGAAAATTAAACTAAACTACATTAAATTTTTGATCGTCGGTGCTTTGTAAATTTTGGAGACGAGGATAAAAAGGAGTGTGCCCAGTCCGTGTATCACCCTCATTTTATGACAGAGAAGATTCCCGCGTCCTCCCCAGGGTATGAAATGTGGACAGCCACTCTGAGGGATTGCCTTTCGAACAGAAGTTTCAAACTCTCGAGACTCTTGGTGATTGAAATCGAAGCTGACGGCAACGTAGGGCAAGGTGCTCGTCCCCGCAGGAGTCTGACTGGTTGGTCCGGAGCCGCTCTGGGCCGCCCGAACGCCTGGCCCCTGGCCCCTCTCGGACATTCGTCCAGACGGCCTGTTGCCTGCACTGACGTGGGATTTCAAAAGTCAGTATTTACCGATTCTCCAGACCGGAGCTGAGCTATCTGAATACTGTCGCCTTGTGTACGACCGACTACGTGTGACCCGAGCGCTGTCTCCGAGCCGCGGCGGGCCGGCCCGCACTGCTCGTCTGCTGGGGCACTGCATGCAGCATGGGGTCAAGGGTGGTGCCAGCGGCCAGATAGGTCGAGCCAAGGCTGAAGGAGCCATTGGAATCTGCAGGGCAGACAAGTCCAGGGAGGGCCACCAGCAGAGGATGAGCTGTATGGATGGGTCGGGAGACTGTTCTCAGAAATCCCCACCCGCCCTAACGGACCGTAGCAATGGGACGCAGCTCATGAGCTCAGTGCCAACCCCGTCTTCTGAGTGGTTTCGGGACCCGGATGGCTCGCTGGGGGGCTTTCTCTTATCGTGGACATGGTTTCCGTGCAGTGCACGAACAGGCCTGGATCGGGTACGGTTCGGTGCCTTCAGTAAATGTGTGAGTCCAGGGACCCCAGGTCCCATGCACAGGACATTTCCAGGCCCCCACACAGCTTGCAGATGGTGTTCGAAGTCCGCTCACGAGGCTGCATGGAGGGGCCCCCGGGGCTCTGGTGCGCGCCGCACCTCGCCTGCGGGACAGCCTGGGCGCTGTGGCGTCCCCAGTGGGCATGTCTCCGGAGCTCAGGACCTTCCCCAGGGTTTGTCCCGGCCTCCTTTACTGTTCACCGTGTTTTTTTAAGCGCGTGTCTCACTTCCCTGCCGGATGCCTGCCCGGGCTCTAGTGCTGTCGCCTTCACTGAGCATGGCGGTCGTGTGCTCTCTGCACATATGCGGGTGATTTCTAGACTCTGCTCTTCTGTTTTCCAGTATCCAGCACATGAACTCGGATTTCCTCGGATTCTCTGTTGCTTTTCGCCCCATTTTGAGGCATAACTGACGCAGACTTTCATACTGAATAGGTCCTCGCCTGCTTTTATTTTTAAAGATGTTGTCTGTAATACTTTTTGTTACATATATTAGGGTTTTTGGTGGGGGTTTTTTGTTTGTTTTTTAAGAAAAACTCATGAGGACATTGACATGATGAATAATGTGGGACATTTTGCCTAGGTTTGGGCCAGCCCCTCATTCCAGAGTCAGTTCCCTACTTAAGACATAATTGGTCATTCTTTTAAGGTCGTGGCGTGTGTCACTGTTTCCCTTTAGAATTTAGCATTGCTCTCCATAAGTGACAATGACTTACCTATTGTTGTTGTAGCTTCAAGATCAAATCAGTACCGGGGTCACAGGGCGGCTGAATAATCCCTGCCCTGTCTTTGATTCGGGTGTTCACAAGGTAGGCCTTGTAGGTGGTAGGTCTGAGGGCAAGTGCATAGTTGAGACGGGGGCCTCCTCCGAGCGGGAGTACCAGGCAGAGCCCCGACTGTGACAGAGAGGACTGGGCACAGGAGGGGAGGCCCAGCACATGCAGCCTTTGGGGAGGGCTGAGTAGCTGGAGGACCCAGCAAGGGTCAGTCCAGGGACATCTGGGGAAGACATTCCAGGAAGCCAGCACGCCTAGGACACAGGCCCAAGGATGCCTGAGCACAGAAAGAGCACCGCGGTGCACTGAGAGGGACAGACAACACAGGACGCCTTAGGCCATGGCAGGCTGGGGGGAGCCAGGGGCCAGGGACATGGGAGGTGGCGGGAAAACGGTGAGCACACTACGTGTTGGCACTCAGAGTGATCATTCCTGGCTTGGACTCTCGTTTTCAAACTAAACGTTTTCAAACGTTACTAAAAAGAATCCAGACTCCAGAGTCAGCTAAATGAGAATTAAAAATCCTAGTTATTAATGACCCCTTAAAAATTGTTTAATCTCTCTGCTTTCATTTATTAATCTGTTAATCTATAACATAGTTACATTCTCTGTACAGCATAGGTAATAGTTTTCTCCCGGGGCTGGGTCGAGGATTAAGATGTGTAGCTCGTATACAGGTGGGCAAGTAGGGAATTCACGGTACTTTCTCCAAGGGCCTTTCTCTGTCTCCCGGCTTGTTCTCCATAGCGCCGGTGCAAGCCGCACTGCTGAGACTCTAAACTCCTAGATCCTATCCCGCATCCTGCAGAGTTCCCACAGGCCGTCCTGGAGTGCCCTCCAGCCGCTCTGGACTGAAAACTAATGTAACAGACTCAGTGAGAAAGTGAGCCGCTTTCGGAGGTTCTGCAAGGAAGCATCGCTTCTGTTAGATTTGCTGGTTGTTGCAAATAATCCATAATTCCTTTTTGCTGGTGGAAGAGCTCCCATTACAGGCTTATTTTTAGCAGCCAGGCAACAAGGCCTCTGCTTTGGCTGGACCCGCGCGTTCTCCCAGGATGGAGAGTCGGGGCAAGAGGCAGCCTGGCAGTGAGGAAAGGTCAGTTTCTGGGTTTTTTCCTAAACCACTGTAGACGTGATACCCTCGCAAATCAAAGGGCAATTAGTAGAAAAAAGTTTTTTTTTTTTTAAAGAAAATTTTTTTAAACATATGTGAAATATGAGCCACATTGTTTTTATGAACTCCAACAAGCCTAAAAATTACTATTTCAAGTTGCTCTAGAACTTTCTAAAGATGCTTGCCTTCTGTTTGTCTCATTATGACCGGGTGACACACCGTCCCTGACGCTCACTGGTCCTCAGGCCGCGCTGGGCATAGCACCGCCGCTCCCTTCCACAGGGTAAGCTTCTGCACCCTGCCAGAGGGCCTGTAGATTTGTTGGGAAAATTATCTTCCAAGTTGCTTTGTCAGAAATATTGTCCAGATTTTTTCTAGTAGTTGAGACTCAGCTGCTGTCGATCTAACCTTCCATTGTTAGGACTCAGCACTGAGTGTGGGGACTGCTCTTAGTTCCGGCGGTTACCTTTCCTTGAGTGCTCTGGGGAGTCAGGATGTCCCCACGTGTCCCCATGCTGGTGCTTGCCCAAGGCCACGCGGCCCTGACCTACAGCTCTTGTTCCTTGTGCCAGACCCGCTCCCCGACCTGCTCGTGAGCTCTCTGAGACGGCTGTGTGCCGGCCAGCCCCCCGCCTCACGAGCTGTCCCACGCCGGCTGGCCCCTCAGTCTGTTCAGAGCACGTGCCTTCCCGTTGGGCCCTGCCACCAGACAGACTCGGGTCCCCGTTCATCTTCCTGCCAGTGCGCACAGTAGTC